GGGTGGTGATAATCCACTATTAGGCAGGCCGTCCACCACTAGCCGGTCTCAAAAGGAAAGTCAGGGCGTTATCGCCGAGCCGAAATCGCCGTTACAGCGGCTATAAGATTATGGCAATGCTCGAGAGGACACTCTGTCATCGTTCCGACATATTGAGAGTTGTCGCCTTTTGCAGCGTCCGAAATCTCTCCAACGAAGGTTAAAGATGTACTTACAACATATAATAGCTCTATCATTCACACTGTGTCGCATGTTCACAGCTGGTTATCCGCCGAAGCTAAGAAATTTTTTACAACACCCTATTTTTCGTGCTTTGAGGCTTGCAGCTTCACATCCAGACATTCCCTCGCCAATCGCATGTACAGGCATGAAGTACAGAATATTCTCGTAATTAACATGAATTTAGTTTGAATGATTTGCTAAGGAAACGGGCACAAAAGCGAGTTGTCTATTCTGACGGTGGTGTCTACTCTGACGGTGAATCACAGTAAACTCCGATCGATACGAACCCTATTTCCAGCAGCGGTCGGGTCATACCGTTGGGAAAGGACAATTCTCGCGATACACCTGTCTACCTCCGTATCCAGGAATATCCATTGAAACACGAAACCTGTCGGATGGGCCCCATGTAGACGCCTTCTTTGCAGACCGCGGCCATTCTTCAAAACGAGTCCTGCTGTCACGAGGAAGGAATAGCCGACTGCCTTCACTTCCTCTGAGACCAGGCCCATGTCACTGCCCCTCCTAGACTCTTGATGGGTGATGTCGATATTCATCCCTATCCTCATGATCCCTCTGAGGGTTCGCCGAGGATGTAGGTTCAATTTCCATGGGGTGGCCGTTTTCATGATCTAAAACTTTCAGCCCCAATGGGACCGTCACACTGTCGATAAATGCCCATAGAGCTTTGCCGACGGCGGTGTTGTTACGGATGCAATGGACCTGTTTGCGAATGTGCAACCGCATGCTGAGGATAGCCTTCACGTGAGCTTCTTGGCTCTCATGACGAAGAACATGCAGGAGAACACCTAACGGCAATGAATACACGCACTCGGTCGATTAAGGGACGTGACACCCACCTATATATATGAACTCGACAGGTGCGATTTGTTTATCCACCTGAGTGAAGGCCTGCTGGAAATTTGGAGATGTAGCGAGGAGCCCGAACTCGGTGAGGACCTCGTCCATTTGCTGCTTAAACGTTGGTAACGGCTTGTCTACGCGGGAAAGCCAACGCTCGAGCTTCTGAACCGTAGGTAGAAACCGTTCAGGCAGTCCGTTGCAACAATATACGAGTTGCGCTAAGCATTGGAATTCGCGTCCACGTTTCGTGTCCCAGGCCAGCACCTCTGAGAGTCCACGACCATTAGGCCCCCCTCTTACATGTCTTGCTTCCAGATCTGATATCCATTCGACCCATGGTGACGATATTGCCTGGAGCTTCTCTAGAAGGTACCATTACAAACCGACCATGACCAAATATCAGTGGCAAAGAATCACAGACCTGCGGCAGTTAAACTCATTCCCAGCTGGACACGCTGAAAAATCTCCCGTTCAGTTCCTGAGGCGACATTGTAGTATTCAACTAAGGGAGATGATTAATAACAGATTAATGGATTGATAGCATTTCACATAAAGGATGAAACACTTTACCGCATACGATTGGAGTGTTTGCAAATTTCTCCTTCCAAAAGTCAGGAATCTCAGGTCTTGTAGCCTTCTGGTTATCTGAGCGTGTATACCAGAAGCTTTTCTTTCTTTGAGAATCCCGATCTTTGAACACCAGTCAACGCAAAGAAAACTGGGAGCCATGCAAAGAGCTTACAAGGAATCTGCAACCCCATCGTCATGTATGGGATAGAACGATTTAGGGTGTTTATTTCCGGATCCAATCGTGCGGAAAGTACTTACCAGACCATCAATGAACTTATGTATGGATGTCAATCTCTGCTTCCCATCAATACAGATTCGGACTTCCTCTCCTTCATCATCACGCTGTACGGCAAAGATGACCGGAGGTACGTAGAAGTTTCGGAAAATCGAGTCAATAAGACCAATTTGTTTGGTTTTGGACCACACAACATCTGGATGGGTACGATCAGGAAGATGTTCTTAGGGGGATATGCACACGAAATTATACCTCTTTGATATGCAGGGTTGAGATCAATGTGACCTTGATGTATAAGGGCTGTGATGAACTTTGTTTGAAAAAATGATCATCTATCTTCATGTGAGGGAGTTACAGTGTAGATCCTGAACTTTGTAGATCATTGCGGAGGGCTTTGCTAAACAGTTGATGATCTTGAAAGCATCACTGGCAGCGCCCTCGGTCTCGGAATCAAAGTCGTCTTCCAACTCGTCGTATTCCTTATCAGGATTCTGATACATCTCATCCAGTCTGGATGCACAAAGGAGCAGGGGAAGAAAGGGGAAGTGAAAGTCGTGAGTTACCTTGCTTGACAAGGTTTCTGTCACCCCCTTTATTGCGTGGGAACGTCGCGCCTGCCACATAAGTACAAACAAAGCTCGCTATTCCAGGTTGGTAAGTAAGGTATAGCCTTTGGACACACCAGTATAACGTCGACGCAGCCCAGAAGTGTAATGCATCTTCCCTTTCATGCACAATGCTATCCATATCCCAAATTTCGTCACCGCTGCCAACACCCTCTTCATCGTCATTGTGCATGTCGATGATTGCACGATCGTCACATCCTCCCTTGCTTTCATTGCCCGCCTCAAGGCCCCGCTGCGCGAGCATGTCGAGGTTCCTGATCTTGGCGAGTTGCACTGGCTCTTGGGCATTGAAGTCAAGCATGACCGGGCAACCCGCACCATCGACCTCTCCCAGCAGTTGTACATCACCTCCATCGTTCGCCTTTTCGG